TCAGGAGTCAGGAGCTTCCTCTGGGTCAACCACATGGATACAAGGTCCCATATGGGACATCCTTCACTGCTTTTCCAGGCCACAAGGAAGGAGCTGCATGAGAAGTCGAGTAGCTGGGACAGGAACCTGCAGCCATATGGTATACTGGCACTTGTAAGGTGGAGGATTAGACAATCAAGCCATTGCACCAAACCTGAAACCTTTCTTTCTTTTTTTTTTTTTCTCTGTCTCCCTTCCTCAATCTGTCCTCTAAATAACTGAAGGCTTCATGTTTAGATTTCTGTTTTTCATTTCCTTCATTCTATTATTCAGGAATACGTCTTTATAATAAAATTTTAATTCAAAGGAACATCATCAATCATATTACTACATAGAATACATCTCACATTCTCTCTCATTCTGCTCTGCATCCTTTATCAGTCATCTTGATTACTGCCACTATGGCCCCCAGTATACAAACCTAACCCACAGTCTCCAGTTTTGAGTTGTACTACTCTCCCGGGATGCACAAACTGTACCACAAATTCAGCATGGAAAACAGATACGATTTCTGAGTTGTCAAGACTCAAATCTCAGTGTTAATGCTGTATTCCAAATTCCTCCATAAAATCACTGTATGAATCCTTCATTTATTTGATCTGCTCTTTCCCATTTTCAAATATATGCACCTAGTCACCTAGTACAAACTCCCTGTTCTCATCTCACTACCATTTAGCTTTCTGGTCTTCTTCCATTTTTCTGAAGACTATTTTTGGATAACAAATATTTGGAATCTGTATTCTTACAACATGTGCTGTATGATCTAAGCTGCGACTATGAAATATTCCTGTATCATATTTCTTTTTCAATTAAAGTTACATGTAACATTTGTTTGTGTTTTGTGACAATTATAAAAAGGAATTATGGAGAGCTGCATCCATTTACAAGGCTCTATGAAATTTAGAGAACATTCCTTTAAAAAAAACACAAACTTACTTCCATTTTATTTGACAGGCTGATTTTGGAAGCAGGGACAGGTGGGTCTTCCACCCTCTGGTTCATAGATGGTTTTTCCATCCACTGATTTACTCCTCTATAATGTGGGGCGAGGCCAGGTGGAAGCCTGGAACTCATTCCAAATCTCCCATGTGGGTGCTAGAGGCTTGGGTACTTGATTCATCACCTACTGCCTTGTGGGTATGCATTTACAGAAAGCTGAGATTGGACACTGAGGTAGAACTTGAATCCAGGAGTTCTGACATAAGATACCAGCATCAGAGTCTGAATTGCTGGGCCAAACATCTGCTCTTTGAAGAGTATTTCTGAGCCACAGGATCACTAATCCATCCTGGCTGCTGTCAGTAGTAGCAGGTACACTTACCATGAGACTATGTAATGTTTTACTCCAACCAATTGAAGGAGAAACAGTGATGTCGGGAGGGTTGTTTGGAAGCAAAAATGTAATACTACTAATTCTTTTGATAAGGCAGATAACCAGTCTTGCTACTTGAGGCACTATTCCAAATTTCCTTTTTCTGTTGGTAGAAAATATCTTAGAAACTACTGATTTAAGGGCCAGTGAATGGCTCAACGACTAATCCTCTGTCTTGCGGCACTGGCATCCCATTTGGGCCCTAGTTTGTGTCCCAGTTCTTGCAGTTCCCATAAAGCTCCCTCCTCATGGCCTAGAAAAACGGTGGTGGATGTCCCAAAGCCTTGAGACCTTGCACCCACATGAGAGAGCTGGAGCAGGCTTGTGGCTCCTGGCTTTGGATCAGCTCAGTTACAGCCATCATAGCCACATTGGAGGTAAACCACTGATGGAAGATCTTTTGGTCTCTCACTCTATCAATACATATGCTTTTTCAACACAAATAAGTAAATCTCGAAAAAGGAACTACTGATTTAAAGTCTTACAAAAATTCAAATGGTTTTAAAAAATCTGATGTTTTTTTTCTTAGTAATCATTAAATTATTTAAATGATGTAAGACACATAAAAAGAACATGCATACTTCTACTTACTTGAGGAGCCTAAAATATCAAATCCATAGAAACTGGAAAGTACCAGGGATTGGGAGGTGGAAGCAAGTAAGAGTTAGTGTTTAGTATGTACAGTTTCAGTATTATTTTTCCAGACATGATGTAAGATGGAAGTAGAATGATGTAAAACCTACTGCCAAAGAATGTGATTTAAGAAATGATGATGCCAGAGTGAGAAGACAAGCAGTGACAATGTCATTGTGTGCTCACCCCAAGAAGGGCTAAAGTCTTACTTGCAGTCTTTTCAGTTACATTTGGTTTCTGCTTAGATCTCTTGCCAGACATGGATTTGACCTAAGGTTACTTTGGTCTGGGAGGCCTAAGTCTCCCTAATTGAAAAATAATAATAACACGACAATAACCCTCATTGAATATATGTGAAGTGCAGGGTTTAAGTGCCAGACATGATCTAGGCCAAGCAAAAAGTTTTAGGCACATTTTAAAAACACCGTATATTAGTTTACTATCCCCTACCACCTATTTGTGCTTAAAAAAACAAAGCAAACCCCACAAGTCCCATCTCAAATTAGGAAAACAAACAGACATTTCTCTCTGCCAATAACCATGCCAAAGTGTGCTACAGCCAATGTTTGTGAAGCTCACCATGCAGCTGACAGTGCCACACATTGTGAAGTGGAAAATTTTGGGAAATGTTACATTTCAATCCTTTAAAAATCTCATATGAAAACAACCTTACAGGTAAGGAGAATCTTTCATTTAGAAAGCCAGCACTCTTGGAAAGAGTCCCATTCAATTATTTCAGCAGAGAAAAATAGCACATGAAAACAACAGTTCAAAACTGACAGTAAATCCACCTCAAAGCAAAACCATATCTGGGTTTTCTCAAGTAGCTGGGTTAATGTGGCATAAGAGAAAGCCTGACTAGTAGGTATAATTAAAGTATGAATCACAGAGTAAGCCATGAGTAACCCTGAAGGCAGCTGCAAGAGAGAAAAAAAAAAAGGCCTTTGTAACACACACACAACTTCATGGAGCAATGGGAGAAGGGAACGGCGGAAGGGTCCCCTTCCATGCCACTGCAATGAGGCGCCTGAGCAGGGCTCTCCTGACCATGCCATCAATGCCCGTTCATCCAGCACCTGTGGCGGACTGTTCTGCTTCATATCATACCGGCACACAGTCTCAACATTTCCTAAGGGCTGCCCAAGGAATCACGTTTTCCTTTACCTTTCTCTATAAAGGACCTTTCCATTCAGATCATAATAGTGTAGACAGTAGGCATAAAACAGTTGACTGCATGCATGAGTGGGCAAATGAGAGCCCGTATCTTAGAATCTGCATTTGCCCTGGCATGTAAGACTTTTAACCAACAGTGAAAACTGACACCCGACATGGTAAATGCTACTTCTCAAAGATTGCTGAAGCATTTTCAAAGAATTGTTCATGGTATTTCTAACGAAAAACACGATTGTTATATTTTATTTTGTTCCATATGTCAGCAGTTGGCATTGGATTTAGTTACTTAGAACAGCAACATGGCAAAAGTTGAAAGGAAATCATTTATTTGGCCTGCCCTGGTTTCTTGTATTTCAGGTTGTGTAATGATTGGTGGTAAAATCACTCCAGGTGAAGAGCAGCCCACTGGTGTTTATTTAATTCCATAAATTAACAAACAGCCTTGCTGCCTCCCATTCATTTCCACATGAGCAGTATTTACTCAACAAACGTTCAACACTTGGAGTGATGATGATTTCATTCGGTGGCCATTCGGCCAATATGTTGAAGACCAATAATGTAAATATAGTCTCACTTCTCTGACCCAGCAGAATTGAAGGCAAGTCATCAAATGAACCGTCTGCAAGATCCCCTCCTAGTTTGTTTACCTGCTATTTTTAATACTCACAGGTGTTTAAAGACTAGAAATGAAAATTTCGAGTTTATGAAACTTAATTGGGAAATATGTAAAGAAAGCACTTTAAGGAGAATTTTTCCCATGATCTGTAGAAGAGTTTTTTTCTTTTCCTTTTTTTTTTCAGCATATGGTTCAAATGGACGAAGCAATGGAAACACAGAAATTAAAAGCAGAGCCTGAAGAGAAATCACTGAGTTCTCAGAGCTCCCATAGCAGAGGATAGGATGAGATGTAAAGCAGCGGCTTTTTTGTTGTCAAGGTTTCAAGAGAACAGAAATTTATGAGGTGAACTTTTGCCAGAGGAGGGGTAACTGCCTTTTGGATGGAATTAACTATTCACTTGAAACTTAGGTCCACTCCAAAAAAAAAAAAAAAAGGAAAACCTCCTTATTTGTAGGTCAATTTTATCCAGGTGCCAGTGTGATACAAATCGTCACTCTAGAAGTAGGACTACCTAAATCCAAGGTGCTTATTTATAGGGTGAGGTTGACTTAATATTTCCCACCTCTGTGGAAAACTGGGGCGGGGTAGGCTAAGAGGGGGTACAAAAACAACAAAAAGCAAAAAGCTGAAGATTCCTAAGGCCGAATCTACAAAAAAAAAAAAAAAAAAAAAAAAACCCTGGGTGGGGAGAGACAGGAAAATGTTTCAACCTGGAGTTTATATGCATTTCCAGACGACGCGTGAAGTAAAAGCTAACCCAGCACTGGAAAGTATCCTGTGTCATTCAGGCTTTCAAATACACAAACTTGAGGGGAAAGTTAACCCCGGCTCCCCTGCCGGAGGAGTCTAGGCAACGAGAGGGGCGTTGGATGAGGAGGGACGGCCGTGAAGATCCTTTTGTGAAGCGGAGGACTTGTGTAGGTGGCCAGGGGCTAGCTGGAGCCCGGCGGCCCAGGTGCGGACGCGCGCTGGCCGCCGGGGAGCGCGGCTCGGGCGGCTGGGCCCGGGGCCGGGGGCGGGGTGGGAGCGCGGCGACGGCGGCGAGGAGGAGGGTCTGCGAGTCCTACCCGGGTGCACGGCGTTTGAGCCTGCGTCGGTCGTCGAGGGGGCGGGTTTCCCAGGCGCCGCCGGAGTTGCCACTGGGGCGCCCGCTTCTGGGCTCAGCAGCGTCTCCGACTGACAGGCGAGAGCAGTGGAGCCGGGCTGCCGGAAGTGTCCGTGCGCTCTGAGAGAAAACTTTCCTGCTCCGGCTCCGCCCGGAGCCTGGCCGTTCCCGGGGCTCGCGGCAGCAGCGACGATGCGCCCGGATGACAACGACCTGAGCGGACCTGCGCCTCGGCCCCCCGCCCGCTCCTGCCTTCGCCTCGCCTCGTGGGAGGAAGACTGAGCCCGGCGCAGGCGGCGCGGCGCGCGGGGCCCGTTTCCTTTGCGCGCGGTTCTCGCGCGTCTCCGCAGCTTCTCGGCGAGCCCGCGTGCCCACAGCGCCCGCTGCGGTCGCAGCTTCTCCCGCCCTGACCGCCGGCCGGGACGTGCTCCCGGCTGCCGCTGGCAGTACCTGTGCCATGGGGCTGCCCACTCTGGAGTTCAGCGATTCCTACTTGGACAGTCCGGATTTCAGGGAGCGCCTGCAGTGTCACGAGATTGAGCTGGAGCGAACCAACAAGTTCATCAAAGAGCTCATTAAGGACGGTTCTCTGCTCATTGGGGCGCTGAGGAGTAAGTGGGGCCGGTGGAGCGAAGGGGGAGAGGGCGTCTGAATCCGGGGTGTCCCAGTGCGGCGAGGGTCTCAGGGCTGGGACGGTGGGGACTGAGCTTCTTTTGTTTGAATGGATTTGGGGACAAAGCTAAAGAGCTCCCCTGCTGGTGGCCAACAAAGTTTGTTCGTAGGTGTTCTTTGATTATTTACTTGCGTGACTGCAGAGAAGGAAAAGTTACTGTGTGCAAGGAGAGCCAAGGTCATCTTTTTTGAATAAAGCCTCTGCAAAGGTGTGTGTGTGTGTGTGTGTGTGTGTGTGTGTGTGTGTGTGTGTGTGTGTTGGTGGGTGAATTTTAGCCTCTTTTTATCTTGCTTCTAATTTGAACACGTTTTTTAAAAAGACCTCAGGGAGCTTGGGGGTGAGTGTCAAAATAGTTTAAGACTAAAATTGAGCTATTTTAGGGATATTCAAAGAAAATTGTTAATTTGTTAAGCCCATTGGTGACGCCTCTTGGGGCAGGTCACTGACTTGGGTTTTTCCTTTTTAATGCGCATTTGCAGTTTTGCTATTGAGCAAGGCCGTTGAAAACAGCACAAGTTTTTGTGCGTCTGGATTTTTGGCGTGTGTTGCCTGTGGTCTCGCTCATGGGAATGAGAGTTCAGGGAATAAAGCTGGAGAAAACTTCCGGTCATCTGCAGAATGTAAAGAAACTGCCCTTGAGGGGAGTGTTTACTGAGCCCAATGGTGGCTGCTCCTTCCATTCTGTATGTGCGAAAGTGAGGCCGCCTTCTAAGTTTGGCAGACTCTGGTTGGGATTTCGGGGCACACCTCTGGGGCTCTTCTGTCTCCTTTGCCATACACCTCTTGCCTGCATTTTCTTTTATTGCTTCTTCCTAGTCTGCCTTTTCGGTTTCTAAGAGGACCTGAGTGGTGGACTCTTGTATATGCAGTATTGAGTGACTCAGTGGTGGGGCTTGGCTCGTGACCTATTCCAGGTGCTGTTTGCTTCTTAGGAGGGAATGCTGTCACTTCTGAGACATGTGTGCTGTCATCTCTAGCCTGTGATGCCTGGGCGTGGGCTGTGTTTTCTCAAGGTGGAGAACCTTTGTGTGATCTTACAGTCCTCAGGACATATAGAGGAGCAGTCTCGTGGTAAATGTCAGTGTAAGGTCAGTAACAGCATGAAGGGAATGTGTGTGGGCTGGGAACACTAGCAGCTGTCCTGGACTGTGAAGCATTCTTACTGATCCTAAGGATCCAGCTTAGCAAGATGTCTTGAGATGCGTGTGCTTTGAACTCATTTTGTATTTTAGCCATCTCAAATATTGTAACATTGACTCACCGTTTGTGTTGCTCAAGATTGAGGAAAATTAAGTATTCACTTACGTTCTAAATCTGAGACCACAATGGATAATAGCGTTTAGGATGATGGAAAATATGGTCGTCTTCAGTCTTTTGCAATCTGTATATACACAAGTGTGAGCTCACCCTCCAAGTCTGGCAGATTCTGAGTGAGGTTTCAGGAAATAGCTCTTGGCATCTGAGGGGGTTTTGCTGTCTCCTCTGCCATGTGCCTCCAGACTGGATTATCTGTCCTCCTTGTTTTATTCTCTGGGTCTTCACCCTTAGCCACTGAGACCCTAAGCAGAACCGGAAACTCCTACTGGGAATTGAGTGACTAACTGACAAAGCTTGCTATCTTTGCCAGGAAGCTTCTTCCACTGGAGCCTGCCTGTCTTAGAGTGCTGACTGCTGAGGCAGTGCTAGCTACAACTTTTGTCTTCAGGAGGTGAACTTCCAGTGTCCCAGAATTTGATAATACTTAAGTAGTTGAGCTCAGGGCTGTGACCTGTGCCTAGACGTACTCGTGATTTTATGTACTTTTTATTATGATTCTTTAATCTAGTCGTGTAAAAATCAGGTGGTTTCCATCCTTACAGATTTGCCTTCTATTCATAAATGCAAAAAGCTTGAGTTGTATGCCTCCTTGAAGGTATGCAACCCTGCTTCTCTGTATCATCCCAGGTTTTAGTATATGTGCTGCTGAAGCGAATGCACCGCCCTGTATCTTTAACTTGTCCTTATGTGCTTCAGTGTACAATCTGCTGTCTTCCTGAGGTTATTATATTTATAGTCAGAGTGTACTACTTTAACATTTGGTTATTACTCCTTTTATTGGAAAAGGAAGTCAGTTTATTCCTTTGAGAAGAGTTCCCAAGCTCAGCTGTCAAATGGGAGATATTTCAGAGCAAAGGAACTCTGGCAGTCCCATTAGACAACACTGCTGTTTTCCCACCAAGCCACCTTCTGTCCCCTGGGGGGATGCTCTGAGGCCAGCCTGCAGCTGTCCTGTGCTGCTGGGATAGGAAAAGTGTAATGAAAAGACTGGAAGCCTGCCTAGTTCTCTCCCAGATCCCAGAGTCTGCCCATCCTATTTTTCTCTCCCTGCTTGAAGAGGCCTTCACCTTCCCTTTATACCAACAATTTCAGGTGGTATATCCGTGATCTGTTTCAGCTATGTGTGCACATGTGTTTTCAGCACGTTTTTTTTTGTGATTTCCATCAATGATTAATTATTTTTTTAGTATAATCTTGCTTAGCAGATATTCATCAATGCATTCCCAAGCATCTCGTATTATTTTTATCCTTGTTATTAGCGTCCCTGGTGACGGTTTTAGCCTGTGCTCTCTCAGTATGTGCATGACTGTGTGGTGAGTCACACATGCTTCTTGGTCTACAATTGAAGATGTATTTCTTTAGTAGACTATTTTAAGTGCCTTTATAAATTGCACTAGATTATCTCAATATAGTGACTTGTGGTTTGAGTTCCAGAGTTCTGGAGTCAAATGTTGTTTGGTTGTTGGCAAGTAAGTTAACCTCACTGAATCTTAACTTAGCCTTAAGATGAGGAAAAGCTAGGGACCAGCATGGTAGAATAACAAGCTAAACCTTCGCCTTAATGCTGGCACACCTTGTGGGTATGGATTCTTGCCCCATGTTTTATTTCAGATCCAGCTCCCTGCTTATGGCTTGGGAAAGCAGTGGAGGATGGCTCAAGTCTGTGGGCCCCAGCACCCACGTGGGAGACCTGTGGACAAGCTCAGGCTCCTGGCTTTGGACCCTGTGAACTTCCACTGTTGCAGCCATTTGGGCAGTGAACCAGTGGTTGGAAGACTTTGATCTCTGTGTCTTCTTCTTTCAAATAAAAGTATAGTAAATCTTTTTTAAAAATGAAGAAAAGCTAATTCAGGATAATTTGCTCATATTGTTGTTTGCCATTTCGATATTTGGTAATAGTTGAGAATAATTTTGATACTGCTGAGCTGAGTTTAGCTCAAGCTCTCTGACACAAAACCTCTACTGTTTCCATCATATCCTGTAAGCATTTATTTCCATTTTTAATGATTTATTTATTCGAAAAGCAGAATGACAGAAAGAGAAGGAAAGGGAGAGAGAAGATGAGAATGAAAATGAATCTTCCATCTTCTTCTTCACTCCCTAAATGTGAGCAGCAGTCAGAGCTGGGCCAAGCTGAGGCCAAAAGTCTGGAGCTGTATTCAGCTCTTCTGTATGGGTGACAGTGGCAGGAAGCTGCACAGGAATTAGAGCAGCTGACACTGGAGCTTGCACTGCAGCATGGGATGCAAGGGACACAAGTGGTGGCCTCACCCACCATACCAAAGTGCTGTTCCCTACTCCCAAATTTTATTGAACGGGTGCTAGTCTTAAAATTTAAACTGTGAATTTCAAAGTTACTTATGCTTTTTTATTCCAATATGTCATATACAAAGGAACTTTTCAAAAGTTTTTTTTTCTCAGTTACCCACTTTACACAGTTCTTCTTTATATTTGTGAATCAAGAGTGTAATATTCAAGTAGAATATGCTTAGTTCTTGCAAAAAAATCAGACTCAAAGAGTAGGAAAATTGCTAAGATTAATTGTTTTAATTACAAGAAAGTATATGAACTAATGCATATGGAAGTATTAAATTGGCTTAGTCATTCCATAATGCATGCATTTGAAAATATCATGTGGTACATCATCAATGTTATAGTTTTTATATGTGAGTGTAAGAAATAAAGAACAGTTTTCTTCCTTGAATTCTTGCCTCTGTATGCCTTCATGCCTCTGCAATAATTTGCCCATTCTGCCTTTTATTTTAATAGTTTATTTTTGAAGTTTTTTACTTAGTTGATTAGGGTGCAAAGGGTCAAGGGCTACAGGAAGATGAGTGAGTCCATTATTTCCACATTCTTTTTGTTTTTTTCCCCTTTCTGTATCTGGGGGAAGGGGAGAAGAAAGGGGAGAAAACACACCCAGCCTCCCAACTGCCGCTGTACCTTGGGATGGAGGACAGTCACCCAGTGCCATTCCGGGGTCCCTGAAGTGGGCCTTGCTCTAAGGGTCCTGCTCAAGAGGATTGATAGTTCAAAACTTCTGATTTACTCCCAATTTTGGCACACCAAGCACGATGAAATCTCTCCAGAATCCACTGGTTGACATAGTCTGCCTTAGTGTGTCTGTTTTCCCAGATATTCATTGCCAACACTTGGCTGGGGTAGTTGATTGATTTGTTCTGTCCTCTGTCCTCTGTTGTGGTACCAGGTGTCCTTTGCAGGCTCCAACACACTGCCATATCCTCCATGTGTACCTGGATATGTTGTGCATTCCATCGAAACCACCATGGAGGCCCAGCTCTGATACATGCACTCCACGGTCAGACCATGGAACTTGCAGTTCTCTCCATGGTTGGGGTTCTGAGTCCAGCAATTCAGTTGAGGGGATCCCCAAAGGAACTTCATCTGAGGTGATTCCAGACTTGATTGTTGTATGTACTTGTCAGTACAGGGTTCGGCAAAGTCTGTCACCCCAATTGGCTTATGAACATGCAATTGCTGGGTCAGTTCTGTCTCCAGTCTTGTCTTTTACACAAATGAGTGGGTGCTGCATCTCAGCCCGATCTTGCCCACCACATATTTGTCTCTCACTGTAACCATTGGGAGCGGTATCCTAGTCGG